GCGCAGCCCACTAGTTATATATAATAGATGAACTTATACTGAAAATTTCAAACTAATCTCTTGATAATTTCTAAAAAAAAAAAAATTGAAAGTCCTTTGCTGCCTTGGTTCACATAAGCAAGATTTTAAAGTAGGACAACATAAGGTTATACCTGTTTGAATATATTTTTCGAACTTTCAAATTAGACTGTCTATGGACGTTAATCCTTTAACTTTATAACTAAATCTGTCAACAATTGACAGACTTTTTTTTTCTCTTGACATTTCGATATTGTGTAGACACCCATTTTGAGCTCATTAAGAAGTAAGTGAATACAATTTTATAAGGTAAATAATGAGCTTTAACTTAGATGTGATTTGCATATAGTATATGATTTGGTTACAAAATCTAAGGTGTCTGTACTGTAAAGTAAATTAAATATTTGTTCGTGTTAATAAATCGCAGAAAGCAGGGGGTACTACGAAACGGTGAAATTACGAGAGCAACCAAAATGGTCGCCAAAGACGGTTAATTCACACCCTCATGTTTTATTACATTTGTTTACGTTAATGTATATCATTGAGTTACTCTACATTGCTACCGATTTTAATGCGCATTGAGATACAGCATTTTTCAAATTTTATTTTAAATTTAAAAATTATTAAATTTAATTATAATAGCATTTTTTAACTTCAATATTGGCTTCAGGTAAATATGATTTAATATTTTTGAACGAGTCATTCTTTGTTAAATATAATTTCGTGTGCTATGGTTCAAATGGAAAGAAAGATTTTTAAACAAGTTAAACAGATTTTCTAAGAATTTACGTAAACTATTCAATTACAATATTTTAAATTGTAATACCTATTAATCTACTTCTTACGTTCATTAATCCTCATTTACATGGTGTTATTTTTCCCAAGTTATTTAAATTAAAACAATTTAAAACTTTTTATGGTACATTTTTGGTTCGCCGAATTCAGTTATTTTAATTTCTTTAAAATTTTAACATAGAGGATTAATTCTGAAAGGAAAACAGTCTAAGCCTTGTCTATTCAAAATGATTATCAATTACAGCATATTGATTATGGTTATAGAAATCCCTTTTAGCTGTTTGATATATTTAACACATTTGGTTTTTTTTTAAATTTTGTTATTATTTTACTTTTAAACTTTAATAAAGGGAAGGTAAAATAACGACATTACCTTACGGCGTAACATAACTATATTTTTTTATTACAATTATTAATATTGTAAAATTTTTCTCTCTCCTTAATCTGCTTAGTTATGGATGGCTAAGCACACTACTTAAAAATAACTTTGAACTGACGGTAATTTTGATTTTCTTGTGTCATTTTCATATAAGTTATTTGTCATTTTAGTTTTAAGCTGAAAGTTTAAGAATGATCGCCTTTTGTTGGCTGACGTTGACGCAGCATAGTCACCTCTGGCTTTTGCATACCACAAAACCTTGTGTTTTGCAAATCAAATTATAGTCTCATTTTATTAAAGTTGGAAAGAAACAAATCTATATAGTGACTTTTAATGTACATCTCTGTAGCAGAACTTTTCAAAGCAAAACGCATTTTGAGACAGTGCATAAAATTTAAACAACTCAGACAAAGGTACTATAACTTAACTATTTTTAATTGGAGATATTTCTTCCCATACTTTCATTCCCGTGTTTCATCTTAAAGTCACATGTTTTTATTCAATGTCTGATATATTTTTTTAACCCTTATATTAATATGATTTTTTTTAACCCTTTGATGATTTTATTAAACATATTTTTCATACTTTTTACATATTTGTATTAATTTAACTCAAAATAAGTTAGAAATATTATATTTAGTATTTTAATAATTTATAATTATAAAAAACAGCATGAAACATCGGTATTTTTTCAGAGTTAAATGTAAAATCTTCCAAACAGTAATTTTCTAAATTTGAACTTATTTGTCATCATTTAGATCTAAAAAACCAGTTATTCATCATTAAAATTTCTTTTATTTTCAAATTAATTTAAATTGATAAATGCTTGAATATGAGGGAAAGAAAATCTACTTTATTTCAGTTTTTATGTTTAAGCACAAATATAATTCCGATAATCTAGCAGATCTTTTTAGTAACTATTAGATTGTTTTAATGATTAAAAAATGTTAAAATATATTTTTCCTTGAAATTAAAGCATCAAAAACATATGTAAAATAGAAACCCGTGTACCATTTGCGTCAAAATGTTTTAACTAAGTTTTTAACTTTTGACATTTTTTTTACAAAGTGCGAAGTGTGGTATAGCCAAACATGGCTCCTGCACAAAAAATAAAACAAAATATCCGTTGTATCATATTTTGAGTCTAACTCCGACACAGAGTAGCATAGGGTTCAAGCAACGAGGACATTCGAGACAAACAACGAGAACAAACGAGGTAAAATTATTATTTTGTGACTCTTCGGCGCATACTTTTCTATTCTCAGTTTTGATAGTGATTCTAAAAACGTATTTTAAGAGTAATCCTTATTGAACATCCTGTAAATAATTATTTTAATGAAGAGTTATTAAAACAATTTTTCTTCGTAGTTTGCTAGTCTACCTTAATTAATTTTTATACCTTTTTGTATTTTTAATTCAAATTGAAATAATTGTTTGTTGAAAATTATTAGGTTTATTAATTTTTGTTCAGTGTTAGCATATCTCATATTGTTTTAATATTTTTCAGAATTAAAATATGGCTCAACGTCCAATGGCTCCCCCACCTTATGGCGCATATGAACAACCACCTGCAGCTTATATTGGTCAACCAGATTATTGGGCTCAGCGAAATACTTTTAATCCAATAGTACAGCAACCTGTGGGAGGATATTATCCATCACAACCACCTCTTCAGCCTGGGTAAGTAATGTTAATTTCTTGCGTCTATTCTGATTGCTTAAATAATTGTAAAATTATTTCCTATACCATACCTATAACCTGTCCCTTCCTATACCTATAACCTGTGAAATTGAACCTTTAAGTCAGTTGATTAAAAGAAAGGGAGCAATTAACATTTATTTTTTCATAGTTATCTGTCAAGCTCGTTGTCTGTATCGATATTATATTTATCAGTTTTGATCCGAAACTATGATAAAGGTGTAAAGTAATTGATAGGGGAGAGTGGGGTCAATTGTAACAAGGTACGATTGTAACAGAGCAAAATTTTTGAGTTTCGGATTCTAGATTTGGTTCCCAGGTGGCTCACAAGATGTATTTAATAAATTTACGTGTACACCCGTGCTGGCAACCATTTTTACGTACTTCTGAAAGAGTTATATCACAAAAGATATTTTCACGCTACGTAAGTACTTTTTTTTGGTATTAGAATATTACATTGTAGCAAAGTAATTTTGTTTAAACAAATAAAAATTATTAGCCGAATATGTAAGTGGACACCTTAATTAACATTTCAAAAAAAAAAATTAGTTTTGTTAATTAACTAGCATTGTTTTTAACAAA